CAAATAATTTGTAAATAAAAAAACGAAGAAAATAAAAGGCATATCCAGTTAAAACTAAATCACTAACCCGAAATTGTGTTCATAATTTCACAAAAAAAAAAAAAAAAAAAAAAAAAAAAACCCAAATAAAAAAGTAAATTAAACAGAACAACAAAAAATAACCGAACGGAACCAATAATCGAACACCTTACAACCCAATTATAGATGACGGAAATTAAATTCTTTCTACACATAAATAAAACAAGTGCATGGTAAATTATTCTTATTTATACAAATTATACAGAAAAAAAAGAAAAAAAAAACAAGATACACATTACACAAATTTTCTCAAAATTTATACACAAAATTAAAGTAAAATTAGTCAATGTGACTTACAACGTAAACGACTATAGTTCCTTAGTTACTCTTGTCGTTGTCGTCGCAATTGCCGCCTTCTTCACCGTGTTTAGCTTTGAGTTTGATGTTGTGAATTTCTAGAGGAAAAGCTAGAGAGAGAGACATTAATGGAGAGAGATAAAAGGGATTGAATAGTAACCGACCTTTTTTACAAAATATGAATATAAGGTCATTTCACAAAAGGTAAATGTTTGAAATTGACGGTTGTAAATTTTGTTTGATTTAATATTTTTTTTAATTTGGCAACTACAAACACGCAAAATCCGGAATACACTATTGTGTATTTGTGCACTTTAATCTTTTTATTTTCTTTTCTTTTTTTTAAGGATTTTGTTGTTATTTTTTTTATTTGTTTTTTTTGAAACATTATCAAAATATAAAGAATCTTAAATATTTTTTGTTGCCTCGAATGAACAATACAAGAGGGGGGTGAATTTTATTGTAGAGGAACTAGGGTAATTTTTGTGGAATTAGTAAAGAAACTCAAACATAAACAAAAAGTGCAAAGAGAGATTTTACGTGGAAAACTTTTGCTGACTCGAATGAACAATACAAGAGGGGGGGTGAATTGTATTGTAGAGGAATAAGGGTAACTTTTGCGGAATTAGTAAAGAAACTCAAACAAAAACTTAAAGTGCAAAGAGAGAATTTACGTGGAAAATTTCTTGACCCTAATCAAGAAGAAAAACCACGACAACAAGGTATTTTATACTCAACTCTTAATAATAATAGGGCAAAAAATCTATTACGAATTAAGACTCTACACTCAAGTTCTTCAACAAACTTAAGTACCCTTCAACTGATCCCTCAATCAGTTGATCTCTCTAAACTCTCTCTTTCTCCTTGCTTCACTCAAAGCAATAAACACTCTTATAGTTTACCCAAACTCTATCCCAATACAACTCAAGATTAAACTGTAAATGCTAAGTACTAAGACACTCAAAGACTTAAGTGGATTATGACTCTTTTCGAAAGCATAAAGATTGTAATGCTCAAGTGTATTTTTCTCAACATAAAACCAATTCAATTTATAGAAAAATAGGGAAAGTTAAAACAATCGTAGCCTTAATCTTCACTAAGCCACAATATCCTTAGAATTAGAATGTGCTGGTTGTTGGAGCTTGGGCAGCAAGTAAAACCAATTTCACAGGAAGTGGTTTTACATCTTCCTAATTTTTCTCAACTTCTTTGACAAAGTAAAAACACACGTTGAAGAATATTTTCCAAAAACTGATTTTCAAAAGATAAGCCTTAATAAAATCAGAAATTATTTTTAACCAAAAAGATATTTTCACTAAAAGATATTTTCGAAATAAACAAGCTAGAATATGGAAAATAAAATCTTTATTTCAAATATTAAGTAAGTATTCACTTTCATATAATACTATTTTTTTCCACAGATTTCATATAATATTTAATTTTAACTATACCTGTGCTTTATGAAAAATAAAGAAAATGGGGAAACTTTAAGTGCAAAACTAGGTAATCCATAATACATATATCATTCATATCCAAGGGAAAAAAAGGGTTGAAATAGTACTGCATTATGGAATACATATGAAATAAAGATGTTAAGGTAATAACATATAAATTTTAATGTTAATGCTAATGAGCATTCAATATAAATAAACCCACAACAAATTAGATTCTTCAATATTTTTATTTAAAATATTAATTAAGTATTCAATTTCGTATAATACTATTTTTATTTTAACAAAACCTGCGTTTTCTAAAAGAAAAGAAAATGGAACAACTTTTAGTGAAAAAATAGGTAATCCAAAATACATATATCAGCCATTATTGCGAACAAAATTAAAAAATAAGGTTTCTAAGAGTAATGCGTTACGGAATAAATATGAAATAAAGATGATAGGTAATAACATATCAAAGTTACTGTTAATGCTAATGAGTACTCAATATAAATAAACCCTCAACAAATAAAATTCTTCAATACTTTTTATTTAAAATATTAATTAAGTACTCAATTTCATATAATACTATTTTTTATTTTTATTTTTGAAATAATTTCATATAATACTTAATTTTAACTAAACCCCTATGCTTTCTAAAAAAAAAGAAAATGGAACAACTTTTTGTGAAAAAATAGGTAATCCAAAATACATAAATCAGCCATTATTGCGAATAAAATAAAAAATAAGGTTTGTAAGAGTACTGCATTACGGAATAAATATGAAATAAAGATGATAAGGTAATAAAATATAAAAGTTAGTCTTAATGCCAATGAGTATTCAATATAAATAAACCCTCTACAAATAAGATTCTTCAATACTTTTATGTCAAATTTTAAGTACATATTTAATTTCATATAATAATTTTTTTTATTTATTTTTTTTTCAAAAACTGTCATACACTACTTCATTTAAACTAAACCTATGGTTTCTAAAAAAAATACTTAATTTTAATTAAACCTATGCTTTCTAAAATAAATGGAACAACTTTCAGTGAAAAAATAGGTAATCCAAAATACATATCAACCATTATTGCGAATAAAATTAAAAATATGGTTTGTAAGAGTATTGCGTTACGGAATAAATATGAAATAAATATGATAGGCATTAATGTGTCAAAGTTATTGTTAATGCCAATGAGTTTTCAATATAAATAAACCCTCTACAAATAAGATTCTTCAATAATTTTATGTCAAATTTACGTACGTATTCAATTTCATATAATAATTTTTTTTTCAAAAACTTTCATACACTACTAAATTTAAACTAAACATGTGGTTTCTAAAAAATAAAAATATAATGGAAAAACTTTCATTGAAACACATAGGTAATTTAAATACATATATCAGTCATTGCCAAGAAAATATAAAAAAAAGGTTGACAAGAAATAGTTTTCAAAAAATGAAATAAACATGATAAGGTTATAACATATACGTTTTAATGTCAATGCCAAACAGTCCTGTGCTGTATAAGGTATTCAAACATTAGAAATATAAATATTAGCATCCAAAAGTACCTGATTACTGTCAATGCCAAAGAGTATGCAATAATATATATATATATATATATATATATATATATATATATATATATATATATATATATATAAGGTTAATACCCTATGTCACTAGATTACAATATAAACCTCAGTAACTTATTCAACAACTAAAAAAAAGTCTTAATTCAAAATTAAAACGAACTATGACATCTAAAAATCTGTATTTGAGTCCCAATCAAAGGTGGTGGGAAACTTTTCAAATGCACTGACTTCATAACAATCGATCGCGTTTGCTGCATTGTCAGTATTGTATGTCCTTGGAAGGAATATTTTCAATAGCTCAACAAAACCACCGCTTTTGATGACAGGTTTCGTGTTTGTTTCAGATGTTGTAGGAACAATACGAACCATATGAGTGATATCATGAACATCACGTCCAATATCATGAACCCCCTGGACCATATTTCCAGTCCAAGTGGTTTTGACTTCACTCGTTTTGGGTCTACCCCTACCTTTTCCTTTTTTTAACCTTTTCTTCTTTTATAATATCCTTTTCCTTGGGATATATTTTCTCATTTCCTATTTCTAAGAGCATTTTTGCTAACTTGTCTCTCACCCAAGTTGATCGATAATACGATGAAGAAACCATTCTACATAGTTGTGCACTTAATCCAGTTAGGAATGCATAACGTCCATTTGCTGATGCCTAGTCGTTTCTCTTCTGAAAATCATGCTCCTTGAGTGAGTTCTTCAGATGCACTTGGCTCTGATTTTCCACCTACGAAGAATACAACCAGCTGGTATCTCAACCATTCCTTTATACTTCATTACCGCAAAAATATGTCGACATGGTAAACCAATGGAGTTGTTCGTCATACAACAACAAACCATTTGTTGTAGTTTCTTGTTGTCACACATAATGTAATTGCAATCTTTGTTCACACAGTAGTTTAACCAAAAACTGGATGAAGCCCCATCAAGATGCCCTTTTTCTTCCTTAGTCTTGGTCACAATGTGTCTTGATTCAAAACTTAGTTCCTTCAAAAACAAAAGGTACATGTTCCTTGTGTAGGTTTGTGCTGGTTGTGTCTTTATTTCAGGAAATACCCCAGTGATTACTGGAAATGTATGTGTGGAGATGTAATCATCTTTATCTTCTTCAAATTGTAAATGCTCAAGGACTTGGTCATACAACTCCACAAAACGGTACAATATTATTTTTGATGTTATGACTGTTTTCAATGTACTACTCATGGACTCACATCTTTGAGTGTTTCTCATGCCTGAGTACACATGTGTATTAACCAATACTTTAATCAAATAAATCACATATATTTTCGTTTACAAATAAAGATTTGGAATAACACTTAGGTTTACTAATGATTACCTATTTCAACATTAATCTGACAATCTGAAACTTATTGACACATCACTGTATTGTAGATTACATTCAATACAAGAATTAATTTTTATTGACGTATTCAGATGAATACATATAACCAAAGTGTTATTTGGGTGATATAGGTAATGACCAAACACTATTTAAACTTACTAAGCGCTATGTAATTATAATATGTAATGATAAACATAAATATATGTAATTACATTAATAAATAAATGTACTTGCCTGCATAAAATTATCCCACCATAAAAGCCTCCGCCCATTTGTCCTTGTCATTGTACATATTTTGTGCCCACTTTTTATCTCTCACTATATCATATGCTTTCATAAAGTCTTCCCAAGCCTCTTCAAACTCAATTGGTGTACGAGCACCGTATACACATTTCATAAAACCATTGCAAAACCGTTTGTTTGTGTGGCCCTTGATTTTGTGCATAATATGCCACAGACTTAACCTATGATGCGCATGTGGGAAAACAGTCTTAATAGCGCTAGCCATGGCGTTGTCCCCATCTGTGACAACTATATATGGAGCAACATTGCCACCAACCTCAAGTAATTGTTGTAGCACCCATTCGCATGTGTCTATTTTTTCGTTTGCAATCAAAGCAACTCCTAAGGGTACAGTTTTCCTATGATGATTTACTCCAACGACAACAACGAATGAATTCTGGTATGCGTTGACTTTGTAAGTCGCGTCAAATGCTATTACCTTCCCAAAACCCTTGTAATCTCCCTAGCATATTCCATCACACCAAAACATTTTATTTATCCCATTATGTTAATCTCGTGTGTATCTAAGAAAAAAAGAAGGGTAAGAGGCTATTTTTCCACGTAAATAAGCCAGCACAGTTTCTTTATCTCCGTCCTTTATTTCTTCTCTTTTGAATTTCTCACATGTGTTGTATAAGTCTTTCTTTAGGAATCCTAATTCACGTATTCCCCCAGCACTTTGTGTTAAATTCCTCATTGTGATGGACGGTTTCACACCAGAGTTAATTAAGGCTTTTATACGAATCTTATCACCTTCAGTTACTTCTCTATGGCTCCTGTCATAAAATTAAACACACAATAAATTATAAATAATTTACCATATCACACATTTATATAACAATTTTTGATGGTTTAACATATTTTCAAAAACTAAACTTTCGAAATACATCTGATTCATAGGAATCGGGTCATGCCCATTCTGCTCAGCTAAAAAATCCTTAACGTACCATGAATCGGATCTGTGATCCCACTTGAAACTGATTGATGCTTTGCAACCGCAACGTGTTACTGCCTTTTCCCTACACTTCCTATCAGGTCTATTCAAGTTTTTTGCTGCTCGAAACCCTTCCCTATTACGCCAAAGCTTTTAGGAAGTTAGATGACCGTCAATTTTTCTTGTTGTTGTATGCTTACGACGGATTCCAAAACCTTTGACCTTAGCGTACATCCTATAATAATTGAATGCAAGTGTGGTGGCTTCTAAAGGACAATTGTTTCATTTATGCTATTGTAAAGTCTTCTAGCTTACTCCCACGTTTTTCCCAAACTTCAGGATCTAGAAAACTTGCAGGAATCTCATCAGTGTCGGTGTCCGTGTCTACATCACTTCCATTTCTGTTGTCACTATCCTATATCAAATGAAAGATTTGGAAATGTGACAGTTATAGGTAATGTCCCATAAGAGATAATTATAATACCAATCAAATTTAAACAACATACTACCTCTCCATGGTCCTCAGGTTCTTATTATATGCAATTTAAGTATATTATTTGTGAGATGTAAAAAATTCCAAAGTTGCATATAATATGACCCGGAGGTAGTACATCATTAAAATATAAAAATTTACAACAAAGAATTTAATATTTATATAATTTTTTTTCGTGTAACAAACAAACATTCAAAAAAATGTTGTAATGTCACCAACCTCAGGTTCAAAGCAATCAGTTTAGTCTAGATTATTAATCTACATATCAACAACTTCTTCTCCTCCCGACTCCATTTGAATAAATAAACCTTTAGTTGAAAAATAAAATATAATCTCTGGTAAAACGAAGAAAAAAACTGTTTATATATATATAGATAGAGATATATAGATATACATATATATATATATATATATATATATATATATATATATATATATATATACATATATATATATATATACATATATACATATATATATATATATATATATATATACATATATACATATATATATATACATATATATATATACATATATATATATATATATATATATATATATATATATTGAAAAACTATTTAACAATTTTAGTTTATTTTATAAAGATTGTTACAAAATCTTTTGTTTGTTAAGTCGTGGAATTAAAGACATGGAATTACAAAGTTACCTTATTTATTTTAAGCATGAATCCTAATATATCACAGGTTATGGTGTCAACCTTTTTAGTTTTGTTACCTTAAAATTAGGAAATAATATTATAGAATCTCCAATTTTAAAAAAAAAATTAAATAAAATAAATTGTTTGATAAGTCATGACCCCTTAATTTTCGCATAATAAGAACTAACCATATCCCTCACTACGTGTCAAAAGCTTTCTTAAATAAAAAAAAGGGTATTGCGCTGAACATACGATATTGATTAGACTACAATTTAGGGTTATGTTACATATTTTGACCAATTACCTATAATTTGATTATCTCTTAAGGAAAAAATTAGTATAAGTAATAGAATATATATACTTAGGTTAACTCCAATAAATTAAAAAAGAACAAGTTTACAATGAAAGGAAAAACTTGACCACATAACATATTGCTTAAGATATTTTGTTTCTTTTTATATATATATATATATATATATATATATATTTGTTCAGAATTAGTTTTATTTTCTTTTAAATATGACTGATATAAAGGAAAACAATTTTATTCATAACTATTAGGCATAAAAATAACATAATTAGATAAACTATGTTACACATTGATGGGCGTTGGAACGGTCGTACATTCCACACTCAATCAAACACATTTATTAACAAACACCTTACAAACCAAGCATAATGACAAGTAAGAGTTCGGTCCACAAGGAACGGGATATGATTGCCAACAATCTTTACACTTAAGCTAACTCGAAGTCAATTGGTGAATTGGGGTTCGTCTAGAAGACAAACAAACTATGGTTCTAAATCAATGAATTAAAGATACTAGGGAATGAGATCCACTCAACCAAGGCAAATAGGCAAACAGGGAGTAAAATAGACAAGATATAGCAAGGACTATATGTAAAATCAACCTCATGCAATTAGAAAACAACTCACACTACTAAACTTAGATTCCTCATTAGTTTAGCAATAGATGATACATAATCAAATTACAATAAGTAATGACGTACTCAATTTACACTTCCATGTCAAATTAGGCATATCATACTATCAAGCTCCTTAGTCAAGGGTAGCTAAACCTATCATGAGGAACTAACAAGCAATCTCATATAATCAATTTAATTGCAATTCAAACATCAATGCTTCTCCCACATTTGCATAGTTAACCCAAAAGGTCGAGCTTCACCCAACCCCTAGCAAGAAGACTACTCACAACTCATGTTTATCAACATGCAATCAAGAATTAGGGTTATAAATACTTCAATAATTGGGGAAAAGTGGTTAACAATTGAAATAACTATCATCTAATAACAAATTACCAAGAACTAGGAAGATTTAAATAACATGCAAATACCAAATAAAATCTGAAATTAAAAGGAAGAAGGTTGGAGAAATTACTAATTGAAGCTTCAAATGTTGAATACAAATTGCCAAACTTTGAGAATAATTCTTGAATTTCACTAATACAATGATTTGATTTGATGAAAACTAAGCTAAATTAATCCTAAGGAATGTTTCAAACTAAGAGAGGTTTTTGAAAACTAGGCTACTGTCCCCCCTTTTCTAAATGAGCTAAAGGGGAAGTATTTATACTCCCCGAAACACATAGGGAAATCCGTCAAAAGAAAACGGATTCCCAGCGAGGAGCGCCCGCTCCACAATGAGGAGCGCCCGCTCCACAATGAGGAGCGCCCGCTCCTAAGCTGGGAGCGCCCGCTCCTTTCGGCTGCACGCCCTCTCCAGAATGCTTCAATGAAGGATCAGATTTGAAAGGAGCGCCCGCTCCTTTCGGCTGCACGCCCTCTCCAGAATGCTTCAATGAAGGATCAGATTTGAAAGTGTCAGGGAGGAGCGCCCGCTCCTCACATGATGCACGCCCGCTCCCCTGTTCCAGCAGCATGGGCAGATTCAATCTTCAAAGGGAGTAGCGCCCGCTCCTGCAGAGTGACGCGCCCGCTGAGAGGTGCACGCCCGCTCCTAACAGCACCTGAACTTGGGCAGAATGTGGCTAGAGTCGAGGAGCGCCCGCTCCATGAGAGGGGCACGCCCGCTCCCCTGGAGCGCCCTCTCCAATCTTCAATCCTCTTGTCTTAAACACGATTCATGCACCGAAAGCCTGCCTAATTGAGCTCATAGACCTGCAAAACATGGACAAACACAAACCAAGAGGGGGGGAAAGCCGAGAAAAAACATTTTTCATTCAAAATTGGGTTAGAAAGAGGGGAAATGATCGCAAAATCGGGTTTAAATTTACACAATAAGTGGTCAAATAAACCACTTATCAAATCCCCCCAAGCTAGCCAAATGCTTTGTCCTCAAGCAATTCACATGCCCAAAAACAAACCCAAAGATCAATTTGCTCAAAGAAAAGCACATGCATAGATATGAGAATCCTTAAGCAATAAAACTCGAGCATGAGGTATATGCCTAAGATCAACCACGGTCATGACTAGCCGAGGCCTAGCTAACCTTCCCGAATGTACTCAACTTTGGTCCATTCAACCAATCTTACCGCGTCCCCAACACAAAGTTCAAATTCCCCCTAATGGTAATGTCTCATGACTCCTCGAAGGAGCCGAAAGAAAAATAGACCCAAGAAGGTTTAGAGCACTCGACATCTCAATGATAAATACCCTCTCCATATGCTTGTGAACCAACTCCCTCCACCGTCTATGGCTTCAACTATTCTACTAACATTACAAGACTCAAGGAATACGGCACAAAGTTAAGGCATAGAGAAAACTAGAAGTGCTTTGCAATTAAAGTCAAGCAAAGATATATAACACTAAGAGCAAACCTAAAGAGGTTTCTAACTTTGACCCAAAATACAAACTATGAATAAACTTGAAACAAAAACGCACCCCCAAGCTTGTTTCATCGCTAGGGTGGTGGGTATTCATTACTTCTTTTTTTTTTTTTCAAACTTGGGTATTTACATCACAAACTATTATTTATAACAACTTAAAGATTGAACTAAGGAAACAAGAATGACATGCCTTAACTTTGTGCGAATGAACAATACATAACAACTTCATATTACTAAGAGTAGTTTAGGCCACGATCTTGGGAGTCAGGACTCAAGTTCTCGATCTAGGTACTAAATCAAAGAGGATCCTTGCCACTCATTCAAATGTAGTAGGCTTGAAAAAATAATATTACACCCTCACTTTTGGGAAAAATGTGGGATCAATTACTACCTTTCGGGTTCAAATTCCTTTGATATGGGCGACTCCATCTTACCACAAACCTAGACTTTAAGTTTCGCACATTCGGGAAAGTTATTCTCACACTAGCCTAAACTAACCAATTCTATGTTCCACCAAGGGCATCTAAACCATGCTCGAAATTTTATTACGAAAAGAAAACAAACATCCACCACATACAATTCAATATCATCATTGCAAACCGATCAAAGGCAAACAAAATCCTTTTTAAATTTTTTTTATTTTTTATTTTTTTATTTTTTTTGAATAAAGGTTGAAAATGGGGGAAAGAGAAACTAATTAAAGAATTTGGATATTAGGGATTTGGATATTAGGGAATTTGGATGTTAGAGGGGTTAGAGGATAAGAAAAAGAAATTTGGATATTAAGGGAAATCATCATCAAAATTCACCATCAAGCAAGACCAAGAACAATGCCAATCAACCATGATACCAAGCAACAATCAAACCAACCAAAGCATGATCATATCAAAAGCCATAGATAAGATGCTCCAAATAGCACACACATAAAAGAGAAGTGAGACAAAAACATCAATATGCAATTGTTCTAGCCTAGGCATGCCATAAAAACGTGAAAAGGGGTAACAACCAACCTAATATAGGCATGCAAACTAGAACATAATACCTTATGAATCCTACCACAAGTCCCAAAGGCTAGACTAAGCCTTTCATGCCAAACATTCCACATAAAATCTCAAATTTCTCCATACATAGCACAAAAGGCATCACAAGAAAGCACATTTCCTACCAAAACCGAAAACTACCCTAGACACAAAGACCCCAAGACTTCCCCAAGCTAGACATTTGATTACCGTTCCCACGATAGATGGACACAATGAGAAACATCTCCCTCCCAAGCTAGAACTCGACACCGGCCTCGGTGTTACACATGATGGGAAAAGAAGAGAAGGGAACGGTAAAAACAAATGTCTAAAGGCTACTCCCGATCATCCTCCCTAGGCGGTGATGGCATGTAGTTATAGTTGAGGTCTACATCGCCGGAAAAGGAAGGTTGATCCACGTATGGAGGAAGATCATAGCTGGGGCTACTACGATAGTGACCGTAGTCCGGTGCATTACTAGTGCCCCACCCACCATCATACCCGGGTGGAAACCCGAAGTATCCCCTTAAGGGGTGGTTATCGATTTCCTCGGGAGTCATATTACCACATGTCTCGGGGACGTGGTAATAAGATGGGTCCCCCCTAAAATCACAACCCCCGGGTTGTGTATAATCGTAGGGAGGAAAGGATCGTAGCTCCGAAACGGAGCTACGAGGTCCTTGCCAATAAGAGTAGGTGGGTTGGTTGTTGTTCCAACCCGCAACCGGCCCCTCTTGAACGGGGCGGTTAGGATAGTTGACATAGGGGAGAAAGTCTCCCCTCTCAACTTGTCTTTGATATGTCATTTGAGACACATAACTTTGATATTCATTTTCTTGGAGGATTCTTTGGTTGGAAAGATTTAGGCGGTGAAAAGCCGATTCGAGGTCGAAGGAGGAAGAAGGAGAAGAAGAGGAGCCGCCGAAAACCTAGGAGCGGTAGAAATACTATGGCGACGAGGTTGAGATGGTTGGTAAGGGATGGGAACATTCGCGGGGAGTGGCTCAAATGGCACTTGCCAAGTGTTCCCCACGGTGTTCATTACCGCCGCATTAGGGAGAAAGCAACGGTGCTTACCCTTGACCAACCAAGAGTATGTGGTGTCATTGCCACGGATCTCCACAAGCATTTGCATTGAGGCAAGTCCGGCAAGGTCAAGGACATTGGACCCGTTCACCGGGGTTAATTGCTCAACCCAATTAGTGAAACCCAAAGCCTTGGCAATTATTGTGATCATGCCACCACATTTTATCTCCCCTCTAAACTCCGTACTCCTCTTAATCTCAAGGCACCTTTGGATAAACAAGTATCCCATATTCACATTACCCTCAAGGTCCCCCTCAAATCGGGAAGCTATAAAGAGGCATTTGATCTCCTCTTTTGTTAGCTTCCCGAGATCTTGTTTCGAGAAACAAGCGTACCCCATAATTCTCATGAATATACGGAGTACGGGGTGGACAATGTGGCTAGCGTGGCTAGACCGGGTGGTGAAATTAGGATACTCCGCGATAGTATTCCACCAATTTCGCTCTTCGTAGCTAGAAAGGTAGAAACTATCGGGGTTGTCTATTTGATTATACACGGGCCACTCAAATATTTCATTGAGGCGAGTTAAGGTTAGAGTCTTTTCTTGATTGAAAAGTCTAAACTTAATTTCGCACTCAAGAGGCTCTCCCTCACCATTGATTCGGCGCATGGTTAAGGTTGAAAGGAACTCGAGAGTGATCGATTCGTAGGTTAGCTCCCTCTTCTTGAGGTAGTTTAACCATCCGAAATTATCGGCCACTCGCCGAATTCCTTCATCTATCCCTAAAAGATGGCAAGTTGATTGGTCGTACAATCTTGTTGGAAGGATTTTTCGTTTTGAAAGCTCAGAGTGATACTTTTTAAATTTTTCGGGGATTCTAATGGGAGGAGGAGCATTGTCTTGGTTTTGAGTTTGGTTTTGGTTTTCGGATATTTGGATGCTGGAAGTCTTTCTTTTCTTTCCTCCCGCACCTCCAAATAATCTTAGCACCATCTTGACAAAATTTGGAAAAAGGAGTAAAAAGGGTTCACTCAAAACTCCTCACACAAGCACCAAAATTCAACAAACACAACCTCCTTAACTTCAAATCCCCCAAATTAAACCAAGGTACCTGCTCACAATTCAATAATAATTCCACACAACCAACCAACAATCTTAACACAACAATTCTCACACAAAAATTCACAAATTCACAAATTATAATTAATTTTTCATGCACAAGCCATTCCCTTACTCCACAATTATCCACAAAAACCAACAATTTAATTATCAAAGGCAAGAAAATTTGTTTAAATCACCTAATCATGCAACTAATTACACAACAATCATGAAATAAACAAATTGAGAGAAATATTGAAGAAAAACCCTTAGGTTTAAGAGGGAAAGTGAAGTAAGGAAGAAAATTATACCACTTTGAGTATGAAAATACTCTAAATCCTCCAATTTCCTCAAATTCCTCCTTTACTAGCAAGCTTGCCCCTTTCCCTATTGATTTTCTTCAATTCCCACTTGTGGGTCTTCGAAATTTTTGCCCAAATTTTTGTAAAATTATGGTTTTTGGAGAGAGAATTTGATGTAGATTAAGAATTTGTGAATTTCGGTTGAAGAAAGTTGAGATTTGATAATGAAAATGAAGAGAGAAGTTGGAGAATATGAGGTTTTTAGAGAGGGAAGTATATGGAAGGAGGAGAGAGAGTATGAATGTTTGAATGAGTGGTGAGAAATGATGGGTAAAGTGATTAAAAGAGAGATAAGTTCCTCTTTTTTTTTATCCGGACAGGTAGGAGCGGGCGTGCAGAAGGGTAGGAGCGCCCGCACCTAACTGAGAAAGAGTTTCTGCCCGTTTTAAAACCATTTTGGACCGGGCGTGCAGAGATGTTGGAGCGCCCGCTCCAAGCCGTAGTTGAGAAACTGACTTTCTGACCCAGCAAGGAGCGGGCGTGCAGTTGAGTTGGAGCGCCCGCTCCTTAAATCAATTTTGGCTACGGCATTTGACAGGAGCGGGCGTGCAATGATGTTGGAGCGCCCGCTCCAAGACGTAGTTGAGAAACTGACTTTCTGACCCAGCAAGGAGCGGGCGTGCAGTTGAGTTGGAGCGCCCGCTCCTTAAATCAATTTTGGCTACGGCATTTGACAGGAGCGGGCGTGCAATGATAGTGGAGCGCCCGCTCTAATGCTATTATTGAAACCTGTTTGCTAACCCAGACAGGAGCGGGCGTGCAGTTGAGTTGGAGCGCCCGCTCCTACCAGTCTTGAAGCCTACTGTTTCGTACATTGAGCTTGGAGCGGGCGTGCAGTTGAGTTGGAGCGCCCGCTCCTACCAGTCTTGAAGCCTACTGTTTCGTACATTGAGCTTGGAGCGGGCTTGCAGTTGTGTTGGAGCGCCCGCTCCTAGCTGTTGACAGCTTCCTGTTTTGTTTTCTTCGGCTCTTTTTGCTTCAAGTACCTATATCAAAACCACAAGAACAAAATTCAACAATTTTGGCCAAAATCAGATATTCCCAACACTCATATTCTTTTCTTCTCTCATTCATTGTTTTATTTTTCACTCCTTTTATTTTCTTGACTCTCTCTTCTCTCTCTTTTTTTTCTTTTTTTTTTTACTCGGGTTGCCTCCCGGAAGCGCTTCTTTAACGTCAATAGCTTGACGACCTCCACACTCAGGAGGTAAGATTACATTGAGTTGATTCTAAAACACCCACATGAGCACCCTCGTAGTAAAGCTTGAGGCGATGCCCATTCACCTTGAAAGATCTCTTGCCGTCCATATCCCAAACTTCCACGGCTCCATGAGGAAACACTTCCTTGACAACAAAAGGTCCACTCCACCTTGATAAAAGTTTCCCGGGAAACAATTTCATCCTAGAATTGTAGAGGAGTACCTTATCGCCTTTTAGAAATGCTTTCTTTTCAATGTTCCGGTCGTGGCAATCCTTAGTGCGATTCTTATAGTTGCTAGCACACTCATAGGCTTCCAACCTTAGCTCTTCAAGCTCACGCAAATCAAGCCATCTTTGCTCTCCCGCGCTAGCCAAGTCGAAATTAATCTTCTTGATCGCCCATTGGGTCCGGTGCTCAAGCTCCACCGGTAGATGACAAGATTTTCCATACACTAGACGATATGGAGTTGTGCCTATTGGGGTCTTGTACGCCGTTCTATATGCCCATAGAGCGTCATCAAGCTTTTCTGACCAATCCTTCCTGTTCTTAGCAACCGTCTTCTCGAGGATTAGCTTTATTTGACGGTTAGACACTTCCGCTTGTCCACTTGTTTGTGGATGATAGGTAAGGCCGAATCTTTGGTGGACCCCGTTCTTTCTTAGCATCTTTTGAAAAGCACTATGAACAAAATGTGAACCATTGTCACTCACCACCGCCCTTGGAATACCGAATCTTGGAAATATGACTTTTTTTAACATCTTCATGACAACCTTGTGGTCATTAGTTGGGGAGGTAATGGCTTCCACCCATTTTGATACATAGTCGACCGCCACAAGGATGTATTGATTCCCATGAGAATTTGGGAATGGCCCCATGAAATCCATACCCCATACATCAAATACCTCAAGCTCAAGAATCGGTTGTTGGGGCATCTCATTGCGTTTGGATATGTTGCCGGTTCGTTGACACCGGTTACAAGTCTTCACAAATCCCCAAGCGTCCTTGAAGATGTGAGGCCACCACAAACCGCTATGCAAGATTTTCAATGCAGTTTTGTTGGCTCCCATATGCCCTCCACATGGATCGGAATGGCATATCTTGAGCACTCCTTGCACTTGTTCATCCGGGACACACCTACGGAGCAAACCGTCTACTCCTCGTTTGTAGAGAATGGGATCATCCCATACATAATGTCTTGCTTCCCTTTTTAGCTTCTTCCTTTGATTCTTGGAGAAATTGGGTGGGCATTCTCCACAAGCCAAGTAGTTTACCAAGTCGGCGAACCAAGGAAGCTCCTTTTCATTCAAGATGTAAAGCATATCATCTCTCAATTCATCACATATAGGGATTTCATCATCACTAGCTTGCACATTCTCTAGTCGGGAAAGATGGTCCGCAACCACATTCTCGGCCCCCTTTTTATCACGGATTTCAACATCAAATTGTTGGAGAGATAGGACCCACCGAAGAAGACGTGGCTTGGATTCTTTCTTTGCAATAAGGTACCTAATGGCTGCGTGATCGGTATAAACAATAGTTTTGGAACCAATGAGGTAGTTCCAAAACTTCTCAAAAGCATGAACCACGGCAAGAAACTCTTTCTCCGTTGTGGTGTAGTTCTGTTGAGCTTCATTCAAAGTCTTAGACATGTAGTAAATCACGTGAAGCCTCTTCTCTATCCTTTGCCCCAATACTCCTCCAATCGCAACATCACTTGCATCGCACATAAGTTCAAATGGCAAATCCCATCTTGGCCCTTGCACAATTGGAGTTGAGATTAAAGCCTCCTTTAATTTGTTGAAAGCTTGGAGACACTCTTCATCAAAAATAAAGATGGAATCTTTTTGAAGAAGAGCATTTAGGGGTCTAGCAATTTGTGAGAAATCCTTGATGAATCTCCTATAGAACCCGGCATGCCCCAAAAATGACCTTACTCCTCTCACATTGATTGGTGGCGGAAGCTTTTCTATCACTTCAACCTTGGCCTTGTCAACCTCAATCCCTTTGCTTGAAATCTTATGACCAAGGACAATTCCCTCTTCCACCATAAAGTGGCATTTCTCCCAATTCAAAACCAAATTGACCCTCTCACATCTTGTCAAGCACTTGCCCAAGTTGGACAAACAATCCTCGAACGAAAGGCCCCCTACCGAGAAATCATCCATGAAAACTTCCATTTCGGCTTCAAGCATGTCCCCAAAAATACTCATCATGCATCTATGGAAGGTTGCCGGTGCGTTGCAAAGCCCGAAGGGCATCCTCCTATATGCAAAAGTTCCATAGGGACAAGTAAAAGTTGTTTTCTCTTGGTCATCCGGGTTTATAGGGATTTGAAAGAAACCCGAATAACCATCAAGAAAGCAATAATACTTGTGCTTGGTTAGTCTTTCAAGCATTTGGTCGATAAAAGGGAGAGGAAAATGATCCTTGTTGGTGGATGCATTTAGACGTCTATAGTCTATGCACATCCTCCAACTGGTCACCGTTCTAGTTGAAATGAGATTACCATTCTCATTTTCAACTACGGTCATTCCTCCCTTTTTAGGGACCACATGAACGGGGGAAACCCATCTAGAACTCGAAATGGGGAAGATGATGCCGGCATCAAGGAGTTTGGTGATTTCTTTCTTCACCACCTCCCCCATTTGAGGATTGAGTTTCCTTTGCCTCTCAATGGAAGGCTTAGCACCCTCCTCAAGTGTTATGTGGTGCATACATAAAGCGGGGCTAATACCTTT